CTGCAGAGGCCAGGAAGAACAATTTTTCTCCCTCCTCCTTGTAACACCCTTTTAAATACTTGAAAACATAGTTCATCTTATCCACACAACAGCTTTTTTGTCATCAAACATGTTGCATGTTTGCATCTACCATACTACTCAATTGTGTTTTATTTATACCTTAAGTTTAAGGTATGCTAGAATGCCTCATCAAAAAACAGAATGCCTGGAGAACATGTTCACATAATGACATTAGTCGCATATGAGTTAATGCATTTCAAGATGTGCTTCTGCAAGGATCTGAGAAAAAAGGGGACTTGATCCTACACTTGATAAGTAACTCCCTTCTTTTGTTATACTAGTGTATGTGTGTGTGTGTGTATATATATACAGTAGAGTCCCAATTATCCGACCTAAATGGGACTAACAGGTGGTCAGATTACCGAAAGTGTTGGATGATAGGGACTCTACTATAGCCAGAGCCACTTGGTCCCCATCCCTGCCTGGCCCTGGCCCCTTCCCTCCCTGCAGCTCCCAGGGCACGGACCAGGAGAATGGCCCAGCTCGCTGCTCCGTCGCTCTCCTGGAATAATTTATTTCATAACAACCTGGCAGTATAGACATAGCCTAAGGCACCATAGGACTCCTTGCTGTTTGTACTAACTGGTTACAAATTCATAGAAATTGTAGCAGGGACAATTCTGATGACTGATTTGCCCAAAGTAGCATGGCAGAGTAAGGACTAGAACCTACCCATGAAAAGTACCGGTGTCCTGCTCTAATAAATCTTCTCCTTCAGTCACAAGTTAAATGACTCCTGATTTTCATTTTATTTCTTCGATTGATTATTGTTTATCTCATGGTGTAGGATTGGGGAAAAATATAGGGAATTATATGGATTTATTTTTCAAGCATATAAACTTTCATACAGTATTTTAAAACTAGTGGGTAATTTTCTCTTTCAAACAGATATTTTTCTCCTTTAAATGTGCCATTAGGTACATATCTCATGCATGCAGAGTAGGAATGCTATATCATCAGGCAGAAATGCAAGCGTGAATGAAATTTCAGTACAGTATCTCATCATAGTTTTAAAGTAATGTTTGTTCAGATTTCTCTCTTTGGAAAATGTGAGCCAAGAACCAACCGACCTTGTGACAACTAACAATTATAGACAAAGCATCTCTGAAATACACTTTAAAAGATGCAGCCTGAGGCATGTTCTGTTTCCTGTAATGTCAAAAGAAAAATTAATACAAAGTGGGTCCTTAAATGAAAAGAAACTAAATTGATGTTTGGCATTAGCAGAAAAGAAACTTCTTTCTTTCTTCTTTTACTTATTTAGTTTTGCTTTTCTTCTTCATGCAAAGAAGATTTTGTAGTTCTTCATACTTTTTCACTCAGACTTTACAAGTGGATCTTGGTAAAGCCTGAAGCAATTTGGTAGCCCAAACTTCCCATTTCAAAAGCATATGTTAAAACTGCATGGCGTGCATGCAGATACAAATGATAGTTCCCCCCACCTCCCACATATAAATGAATTTAACTGGAGGGGGAGGACTAAGCACAGCTTGGGATATGATTAATTCAAGAAACTCCATATTGGAATCCCCTCCATAGCTATTCTACCTGCTCTGGTGATGAGCTGGTGGCCACATATGCAGAATTTGGAGGCCAATGAAGCTTTGAAATCCCTGTTTCAGAAGCATCTCCTCTGGCCTCCTACCAGCTTGTCCTGTTTAAGGTTTGTGTATGCCTTCCATCTACAACAGAAAGTTCCTTGTCTAGACTACAGGTTTTTTTTGAAAAAAGCCTTTTTTAGAAAAAAACTTCTTTGTCTAGACTACAGGGTTTTTTCAAAAAAAGCCTTTTTTAGAAAAAAAACTTCCCGGTGTCTTGACTGCAGCTGCATTCTTTTGAAAGTAAATTGAAAGAACGGGGCAGTTTTTTTGACCGCGGAAAACTTTGTTTTATGAGGAAGAACACCTTTTTCTGAAAATGCTCTTTTGAAAAAAGGTGCTATGTAATGCAAACTGTGCTTTTCCGAAAGACTGCCAGGGTGCTCTCTTTTGAAAAAGTGGCTTGCTTTTTCGAAAGTACTGGTTGTAGTCTAGACGCTCTGTTTCGAAACAGGCCTTTTCGAACGTATCTTTCAAAAAAGCCTCTTTCGAAAGAGGCTTGCAGTGTAGACGTAGCCTGGGTGAAGAACATTAAAAGGGTCCAGAAACCCCCAGCGCTTGCCACTGGCAATGCAGCAGGGCTAAAGAGGGCTTCCTGCCTGCCTGCGCTCTGCACTACTCTTGGAAGCATCCAGCACATCCCTGTGGCACATGGGGTGGTCTCTGTGTGCTGCCTCTGCCCTGAGTGCCAACTCTGCAACTCCCATTGGCTTGGAATTATGGCCAATGGGAGCAGTGGGGGTGGTGCCCGTGGGCAGCAGTGCACAGCGATTCCCTAGGCCTTCCACCTAAGAGCCATTGCTGGATGTCTTTCAGGAACTGCTCAAAGGAAGCACCACGTCTCCCGACCCCCCCTGTACTCCAACTCCCTACAGCACACACCACAGCGGAACTGCTCAAAGGAAGCACCACGTCTCCTGACCCCCCCGTACTCCAACTCCCTACCACAGCACACACCATAGTCTCCCACCCCAGCCCAGAACCTGTACTCTGCACCCAAACTCCCTCCCAGAGCCCGCACACTCTCCTACATTCAAACTCCCTCCTGGAGCCTGCATCCCTCCCGCACCCCAACCTTCCCTGCCCCCATCTAAATCCTGCACTCCATACTCAAGCTCCCTCTAAGAGCCTGCACCCTGCATTCCCTCCCACACCCAAACTCCCGCCCAGAGCCTGAATTCCACATCCTCGCTTGCACCCCAGTCCCCTGCCCCAACCCATACCCAAACTATCTCTCAGAGCCCACACACTCTTACACCTCAGTCCCCTGCCACAGCCTAGGGCCCGTACTCTGCACCAAAACTCCATCCCAGAACCAGCAACCCATACCCATGCCCTCTACCAAACTTCCTCCCAGAGCCCACATCCCACCACACTCAAAATCCCTCTCAGAGCCTGCACCCCAACCCTCAACTTTAGCCTTCTGAAAGTGAGTGAGGATGGTAGACAGCAAGCAACTGAGGGAGGAAGGGTGGAATGGGAAGGGCCTTGATGATGGGGTGGGACAGGACAAGGCATCAGGGAAGGGGTAGAGCAAGGGACAGCACAAGGGTCTTTGGGTTTGCCTGATTAGACAGCTGGCAACCCAACTGGGTGGGTACATGGAAGCCCTGGCTATTCCAGAAAAGTGCATACAGCTCACTGGGCACCAGACAGCACAGGTGTTGCCCTACTCAAATATCAGGTGGACTGCATGCATGCAGGCCCATTAGCTGTTCTGCCTGAGGCCTGGAATTGCTGTCTGCAGGCCACAGAGCAGTGTTTCCATTTTGTCATTTCACTTGTGCAATCTATCTAAGGGAATGAATTTTGCTCTACTTATAACTTATTTGTGCAAAAGTTGGTAGAGTGTGGAAGGATTTATCAATCTAGTCCTTCATTTGCAATTGTAAGTAGCACATTTGGTTGGCAAGTTCTAATTTGCTCATGCAAATGTAGACAAATATAGAAAAATGACTGGTTCTTAGAGAATAAACCTTATTTAGTATTAATTATGTCCAATGCAATCCTGTTAAAATCAAAGATGAAGGAAAAGGTTTCCTAAATGAGAGCCTGTGTCTTTCTTCTCTCTCTTGGATGGGTCAGTCTATTAATTCTGCTATAATTCTGACCTGATGCTGTATTTATTAGGAAGAATAAGGACTGTTGATAATTTGTGTGTTGTTCTGCCTTAAACTAAAAGAATGTGAAGGATTTTTCTAAGGTGATACAAGGAAACTCAGAGGTGTGATTATATTCAACAGAAATTGTTTATGCTGATGTAACCCTCATATCTTCTGGGTGTGGCGTACTATCCCATGTAGAGCACTTACAGAGAGAGAATGAGTTTGCTCTGCAGCTTTAGTGGCGAGCCAACTATATTTATAGCTCAAGCTGCAGAGGCTCGTGCGCTCAGCTCCAGCGATCCCAGGTATGATTCTCCCTATCAGTGTTACAAGTGGGGCTTTCTGGGATTTCAACTGGGTTTCTATGAAGCTTGGGACATACTTCCTTAGGCAGGGGGAGTATGTAACCCACCCACCTTCTGGATGTGGTTCACTGTTCTGTGTAGTGGCACTTTGACCACTTATAGAGAGAAAGAATGAGTGTGTACTACAGCCTTAGCCTGTAGAGAATGATGCCAATAAGCTCTAGAGTCCCAGGTTTGGTTCTACCTGGTGGTGTTACGTTGGCAGCAAAAAGCTGTTTTGCAAGCCCCCCCAGAAACTCTCTGGCCAGTTCTGGTTGTTTAGATGATCTGACTACAGTTCAGACTTGGACAGAGCCAGGTGCTGCACTGCAGGTAAACCCATAATTGTCAGTCACAAAAGCTGGTACGAGGAAGGACTGCTAGGGAAACATAGGGTGGCATTGAACGTGTAGGTGCTAATTTTTCACCCACTCCCAGCTAAGTGCTCCAGAAATTCATGGATGGGAGCCAAGCTTCTCACGATGTCACAGCAATGAGTGGGAATCCATTCTATGCTGCTCCTCTGTCACACAAAGGAACCCCAGTTTTCCCTTAACATAAAGTAGGGGAGAGATTTTGCTCCTGCACCTGACACCTTCTCCAGCCCAGTTCAGAAGAAAAGAAGAACCATTTCCAACTGATTCCTCATTCGCCACCAGAGGAGTCTGGACGGGGGAATTATGGTGGATTGAAGGGGCATACTATGACAAAAGACAAATAACACACCTTCAGCTCATGGGTCCTTTCACTTGTGCCACACAGAATGTCCTGTGTCTTAAAGGAACAGTAGCTTCATCTAGCCATGAGAATCTTAAAGCCTCTACATCACAATGTGGTGGAAGGATTATTTCCATAGAATTGTAGATTCCAAAGACAAGTCACCTAGTATAACACGGCCATAGAACTTCCCCTCAAAATGTTTAGAGCACGTTTTCTTTTAAAATCTAATCATGCTTGAAATATCACCAGTAATGGAGAATCCATCATGACCCTTGGTAAAATGTATCAATAGCTAATTACTCTCATTGTTAAAAATTTATACTTTATTTATTGACTGAATTTGTCTAGCTTCAGCTTCTAGTAATTGGATTGTGTTATACCTTTTTCTGCTAGACTGAAAAGTTCATTATTATATATTTGTCCCCTATGTAAGTACTTATAGCTTTTAATCAAGTCACCCTGTTACCTTTTCTTTGTTAAGTGAAATTGATCCAGCTCCTTGAGTCAATAAATATAAGGTACATTTTCTACTCCTTTAATCATTCTTGTGGCTCTTCTCTGGACCTCTCTGATGTATCCATATTTTTCTTGAAGTAGGAACACTGGAATTGGACTAATGCCAAATACAGAAGTAAAATATGCTTTCTACTCTATGTCAAGATGCTTACTGCATTGGACTTGAGGAAGTGGGTGTATAAGGAGGAGAATAGCATCATCATCATAGAAAATCCAGGTGGAATACCTCCTGCTTGCAGATCAACTTGACCCAGATTGGCCTCTAACAAAGTCCTTAAGATGGTCCCAATGAATATTCAGTTTATCAGTCACTGGAAATCTTATGCCACTGAAGCTGTTTGTGAGCATGTGATCACCATCCATGTAGCAACATTGCTTGGTACACGTTCTTTGCAATTCTTTAGTCTGTCAGCCTAGCAACATGTCTGTACCAAGAAAGATGAAACTGAATCAGTGCTGAATCAATGGATTCAACTATGAAATAGCCTCATTTCTGATCTCGTTCTGCCACTTACTATAGAGCAGCTGACAAAGACTAGAATAAAAATGTCAATCTGCTACTATTCTCAGCGTCTATGTTTTACTGCCGTGCCACAGAATTGGTTCACAGTTCCATATAGCTGCAGCTTGGTAGGAAGCTTCTTGACATGACATCACTGCAGATGCTATGGAAGGCCTGAAACATGGTAGCATCTGCTGCTATAAGAGTGACCATATCTTTTGAGCATCCTCCAGCACTGTCTGTGATGCTTCCTAAATAGATGATAGTTGCCATCTGCTCAATGGCCCATCTGGACAGATTAATACTGAGCTGGAAGTTGTTTAATGATAAGAACCGGGCAATTAGTTTTACCCAGACTAATAACCAGACTAATGCATTCTGCTTCTTGCCTGACCAGATCAGTCATTAGTTGCAGTGATTGATCAAACTGAGCCAACAAGACAATGCCATTGACATGTTCAAGTTCTCAGCAGAGAATTGTGCTCCGCTCAATGTCAGGAAAAGCTCGTCAAGCTCATCCTTCAACCTGTCAATGCCGATACTACACAGTGATGGTGGCAGACTCCCATGGAGAAAGGAAACCATGCCATGCATCTGCCATTGACTCAAACACATCTTTCTGTTCCACCTTAGAGCTCTTCCATCAATTACACCATCTTCCCAGGGATGCTAGCAAACATCCACAGAGTCACCTCATTGTCCTCCTTTCTGTCTCTCCTTGTTTTCTGAAACTGCTACCTATCAAGTTGACCAGTATTGTTTCCTTGTCCTCCTCTGTTTGCCTCCACCTGTATTTTATCAGCCTATATTTAGATTTTTGCACAATTCTGGAAAAACGTCTAGTTTGTGACAAGGACACAAGAAGCAGCAGCAGCCTATGCTTAGTGTTAAGTTCTTGGGGCAGGGATAGTCTTCTTGTTTTGTATTTTGTACAACATCTAGCAAAATGGGATACTCATCTGTGACAGGGTCTCCTAAGTGCTTCCACAATACAAATAAACACTAATTACTGAGAATGGAAAATTCTGATACTATTATTAAAATTTTAGCAGCATATCTTCCACTGTGCCCTACCGTACATTTTTGTTTCGATTAATTATTCAGATATTGACAATGTTATACGTGTCTTTCATATATAGAACAAAGACCAGTTCTTATTCCATATAGCTTACTACAAATAGACCAAACACGGGATAGGGAAAACATGCAAGGAAAATGACTATGGTGAAATTTAACATGTGGTGGATTTAGTTTAATATTTTTCTCTCCCCACCCTCATTTCAGTCCTCTCTTGCAGCCTCTCCTTTTAAACAGCATCCTTCTTTGATCGCTTCTTTATGCATCTTGACTTGAATTATAACATACAAGGAACCACTGTGATAAAACGAATAAATGAGGTCTACCAGGGTACATCTACACAGCGGCACTATTTCAGGATAACATCCTGAAATAATATTCGGCACATCTTAACAGCAAGCTCATTATTTCAAAATACATTTGAAATAATGAGCTTGTTATTCTGAGATCCCATGAACCTCATTGCACAAGGACTAAGAGCGCTATTCCAATGAGCCCCAATTTCAAAATTAGTGCTGTTTAGATAGCTTATTTCGAAATGTAGTGCTCTCTCGAAATAAGCTACACAATTTGTGTAGCTCAAATTGCGTAGCTTATTTCGAGCTATGTGCTGTGTAGACAGACCATTAGCGTACTTGCCAACACACTATGCAACACTTCTTGTTCCTGAATTTGTATCTGAAATTTATTGTTTTAATATTTCAAAGTCCAATATCTTATTAACTGCTCAGATACTTAGAATTCACTTTTTCTGATCATGTGCCACTCATTCTAATGGCTTTGTTTTCCCAGGAACTACTAAATCTTATAAGCAAAGGTTTAATTTCCTCCTTTGAAAGACGAAAAAACATGATGAAAGTGTCTGATGTGGACTGTATAGCAATGAGGCATTCATGTCTTTCTGCCTATTGAGATATTCTCAGGCTAATAATTGCAGACTGATCATCATAAAAACTATATTGCTGCAACAAAAAAGACATATGCATTGTGTGGATAGGATTTTAATATTGGAATTAATTTTTCATAACACTATCAAATGAGGAAGCATGAACACCTCAGTCATGTCCTATACTTCGAATTTCTTTCAGAAATATTTAGTATCTCTAATTGTTCCACATAAATTTCAGTTCCCCCACTTGCATTGTTTAATTATTACATATTTGAATTTTAAATTAAAGTTTTTCACATACTAACATGAAGAGTATTTTATATTGTGTGGGAGTTTATCTTGCCATAAGTAATAAGAACAGTAATTTGTTGTTGAAACTTGTTTGTTAATTAAAAAATTATTAGCAGCTTGTAACTACAATCATAATTGTCCTTGATTCCTATTATTATGTTCATTATTTGCTAAGTATTTCTTGGCTTGGTAACACACACACAAGTTTTAACTACTGCTAATACTGCTGCTGTTTTTGTTTTGAGCGAAAGTGGTCCATAGGCTCTTGAAGTACAATGTGAGATCTACAGTGATTCTGATGCAATAATTCAAGTGTGTGAAGGAACACTGTATAGCTTGTGAGAATATTAATGGACAGCGATCTATTTTCCTGTCTAGTTTTGATCTTTATATAGTCTGGATTAATAGTGAATAACATGATGCTTTGATTGTGCCTCAGAAAATGGCAGCTGGCTCTGCCCAGAGCACAATGCTGAAAAGTAAAGGTTCAGAACACAGAAAAGAATCGACTACATGGTTATATATGCCACATGTGCAACAACTGTTCTGATTTTTTTTCTAAACACTGTAGGAAATTCCTAGTCAGACTTAAATAAAAATGTATATACATATCAATTGCTTTAGGAAGATTTTCAGAATGTTGTTACTTAAAGGAACACCGCCTCACCAGCTTGAGATTGTATCTTCCAGTGTAATAGCTAAGATTATTGCAACTGAAAATGGTTAAAGAAAATGTTCCTGTTTTACTTCATGTTTAGTCAATATCACTCTATGTCCCTGTAGCAATGTTTTACCTTTCCAATCAAGTGCCCCAATTTTTCCTTCTTGTAGATAATGTATTTCTTGCCAATATCACAGTTTCACATAGCTCTCTCCCTAAATGAGAAGAGGGGAAACAACAGAAACTTCCAATTATGTGGTATACAACAATCCAAAGCTAACAATTCACTCAACAAGCAGTTCTTTCCCTTCATTCTGTCACAGCACTCCATCAAGGGCCTGAGCAATATTACTTCAGGGCATGTCTACACAGCAGGGCTGAAGCTGAAATGAGCTATACAATTTGAGCTATATTGATTGCGACGCATAAGTTGAAATAGCTTATTTCGGCTTTTGCTGCTGTCTACACAGCAGGAAGTCCAAGATAGAACACTCTTCCTCCGATTTCCCTTTCTCCTTGTAAAATGAGGGTTACAGAAGTCAGAAAAAGAAGTCCTCCAGCTCGACTTTATTTTGACATTATATTGAAATAACTGCTTGCTGTGTAGACACAGACTATGTTATTTTAGAATAACATCAGTTAGGCTACATCTAGACTACATGCCTTTTTCGAAAGAGGCTTTTTCGAAAGATACTTTCAAAAAAGCCTCTTTTAAAAAAGAGCGTCTAGACTACAATCAGTACTTCTGAAAAAGCAAGCTGCTTTTTCGAAAGAGAGCACCCAGGCAGTCTGGATGCTCTCTTTTGAAAAAGCACAGTTTGCATTACATAGCACCTTTTTCGAAAGAGTACTTTCAAAAAAAGGCATTATTCCTCATAAAACGAGGTTTTCCACAGTAGACAAAACCGCTGCGTTCTTTCGATTTACTGTCAACAGAATGCAGTGGCAGTATAGATGCAAGTAAAGATTTTTTGAAAAAAGGCTGCTTTTTTCAAACAATCCCTGTAGTCTAGACACACCTTATTGTGAAATAATGCTGCTGTTTCAACATAGCCACACATTTATACCGGGGAGTAGCAGCAGACTTCCTCCCACCCTCTCTCGGAATCATTGCTGTGGGCCCCAAAACAGAACTAATACTTGTGTTCATGTACAACCCTCTCTCGTCCTTTACCTATCAGCTCTGTTATTTCACCTGTGTATTTGCCAACTCTGTTTGTAAGCCTACGAATACTCTTTCTTCAGAAACTTATGGGCTACGTCTAGACTGGCATGATTTTCCAGAAATGCTTTTAATGGAAAAGTTTTCCGTTAAAAGCATTTTCAGAACAGAGCGTCTAGATTGGCATGGACGCTTTTCCACAAAAGCACTTTTTGCGGAAAAGCGTCCGTGCCAACCTAGATACACTTTTGCGCAAAAAAGCCCCAATTGCTAATTTCGCAATCGGGGCTTTTTTGCAGCAAACAAATCTCAGCTGTCTACACTTGCCCTTTTGCGCAAAAGGGACTTTTGCCTGAACGGGAGCAGCATAGTATTTCCACAAAAAGCATTGATTTCTTACAGTAGGAAGTCAGTGCTTTTGCGGAAATTCAAGCGGCCAGTGTAGACAGCTGGCAA